GAACTTTGTGAAGCAGCCTGTTCTTGGTGCTCTTTCATCCATCAGAACCACACCACTATGGTTCTTCTTGGTGCTGGCTTTAAGGCTTGGCCAATGCCAAAATTAGGTCTCAAAAACATCTACTTTAGTCAAGCCAATCCCACTCATCTTGTTTTAGTGTTCTTTTCAAAAAGCCCTGTCCTTCCGAGCATGAGCTTTAGGGAGTTTTTGGTAAACCAGTGCCACAGCTCTTCATCCTGGAACGGCATCTGGGAGTCGGCCATGAGTCCCTTGTGCCCAGCCACCAGCATGGTTCACTTTGAACTCTCAGGCACTACACACTGTGGTTTGCTCCCCTGGGTCTGCTCTCCACCCTTTCTCTCCCCACTCCCACCCCCACCTTCACCAGCTGCCGGCCCCCACATCTAGGGTATGGGTAGGTCTCCCATCACTGGGATGTTCACTGAACTGCTAATCCATTTCCTCGTTAGGCTTGCTCACTGGCATATGAACAGGGTAATTACTGGTGTTGGTTAGGCCTTTTTTAACTCTATATGAGAAGACTGGAAACTGAGTTCCTACATTGATGGTAACTTGACCCTTCAGCTTTGTGGTTATGTCCCTACTGCAGTTAGTTAGGTTTTGATACTTGATTCCAAAATGGCCTGGCTGGCCATTATCTTAGCCTATTGTTTTTCTCATTTAATGAAAACCCAAATAATTCTTCACCAGGTCAGAATATCAAATAGAGATATTTATAATAAAAGTGGTATTCACATATCACCATCAGTTCTAACCACCTGTTCATACATGTGCCCCAGTGTCCCTGACACCTCATTACATGCTTGGGTCACAATAAAAATCCAGAGGGGGCTGCAGCCCTGTTCTCAACACCTACAGATATAATGGCCTTTTTGATTTCAACAAAAGGAATGAAGGCTGATTATACTCCTGGCAGAGATACAATTTTTTATCCTCAGAGAGTCCCTCAGTTCCTATGAAAAAATGGCTGACTTGGCCCTATTTCTGAGGAGCAAATGTGCACATAAGCGAACCACCAATATAACTGCCATCTCTCTGGGAGGCCACCACAGGGAAAACCCAGCTTATTTTGGCAACTAATGGAAAAATACCCCATGTTTGTCTGTGTACACATGTACACATCCGGGTCTGGAGGAGAGATGAGAACTCAGGAGGCATGAAAGAAGCAGTGAAAAGGAGGGGTGTAAAACATGTGACTAGGCCAGAGAGTTCTGTCCGTGACTAGGATGGTCACATACACTGTGACTATATACATGTACATATGTAACTATGAGGGCTGGTCTGTGAATGTGTGAGATTTACATCCACAGCATGAACACACGAGAGGCCCCATAGAAGTACAGCACTAAATGTATTCTCTCAGCAAAATCACCAAACGAACTGGTTCTCAAACTTGGCAGCGCACTGAAACCATCTGGGGAGCTTTAAAAAATACTGATGCCTGGACCTCACTCCTTGGAGATTCTGATTTAATTGGTATAAAGGTCTGTGGCAGGCAGAATAATAGCCCCCCAAAATGCCTACATCCTAGTCCCTGGGACCTGTGAGTAGGTTATATTACATGGCCAGGGAGTATTCAGGTTGCTAATTGGCTGGCCCCAAAATAGAGAAATTATCCTGGATTACCTAGGTGACCACAATGTAATCACAAGGTCCTTAAAAGTAGAAGAGGGAGGCAGAAGTTAAAGGTCTGGGTGATGTGATGTGAGAAGGCTCGATCTACTGCTGTTAGTTCTGAAGATCAAGGAGGAGGCCACAAGCCAAGGAACACGGGAAGACTGCAGAAGCTGGAAAATGCAAGGAAATGCTCCCCTAGGGCCTCCAGTGAGGAATGAGCCCTGCCCACGCCTTGATGTAGACCAGTGAGACCCCTGTCAGACTTCTGAGCTCCAGACCGTAAGAGAGTAAGTTTGTGTTGTTTTCAGCCTCTAATTTTGTGGCAATTTGTTAGAGCAACAATAGAAAACTAACACAGGTATGGCCTGGGATTTGGGAGGTTTCAAAGCTTCCCAGGCGATTCTAAAATGCCATTGACCTAGAGAAAAGGCAAGACAGGGACACGGTGGTATGACTGCTTATGCTGGAAAAATATATGGCGATTTCATCTGGGAAATCAGCAGGTCATCCCACCAACATATCACCATCAATTCTAACCACCTGACCATACATCACTGGGCCGCAACTTATCTAGACACATCACAGGATGCACATTTCTCCAGTTTGGTGGCTAGAATCCTTTCCAGTCTGACCCATGGAGTAGGCTAATTTCCTTTGAATAAAGAACATTTACAAATATGCTTAGCAGAGTTTCTGTAGGGCTTACTTTCTTACCAATGCTGTTTTTCAAGGAAGGAACTGGCCAGGATCTGAATTACAGGCAAATACATAAATTAGTACATTCACATCTATGCCATCAGGAAAAGGACTAAATTGTCCTTGTCTGTGCACTTAAATTATTAAAAACCATTATGAGGACTGTAAAGATAGAGGGTTTCTCCATTTGTTTAATAATCTATTTATGATAGATGATAAATAGATGGAATTTACTCATTTATTTATGATAGATAAACAGGTACTGTGAGAACAAATGAACTTATTCCTATTAGAGACAAGAAAAGGAGTACTTGTATGATTTTGACACGTGCAGCCCTCCCTGTAGAGGGAGCACACATCCGTCCCTAGGGCTTCAGTGCCCCCTCATCCACGGTAGTTCTTCTTGAAAGTCATCGCATCATGAGCCTCCACGGTATGATCACCAGAGCTAAAAACCTAGAACCTTTTCCTTTTCTCTCCCTACTTTGTCTTCCTCAGAGAGGAAGCCAGCACAGTAGAAAAAGCAGTCACGTTAGAACTGGAAGACCTGTGTTGGAATTTCAATTCTTTAATCTGTAACTGACGTGACATTAGGAGATCCCTTAGCTGCTCAGAGCTTCATCCCTAATACACAGATATAATACCACCTTCATGATGCTGAGTTCTGATTAAGTGAAATATCCTGGATGAGAGTGCTTAGCACATAGGAGGGGCTTTGATAAATGCTAGCTTTACTGAAGCCCAACTATTCCTATGCTTTTTCACATCACCTCCAGGCTGAAGCTTCTCACATCTATTCTTCTTGGTCCTGTCTGAGCTCTGGTATGTATCTCCCAGTGTATACTCAACACTCCCCTCATTTCTCTCATTGACATTTCTAATAGGAAATGTCCAAACTGGACTTATGACCTCCACTCCTTACAAACCAGTGACCCTCCCAATGCCCGTGTCCACCACCGTCACCTGCATCCATCCTCTCTTCTCATCCTTACTGCTGCCACTCTCATTTGGGCTCCTGTCCCTCACACCACACACTTAAGAGCTTTGTGTGCAGTTCAACTTGCAGAGGGGGCATTTGTCCATTCTGAGGTCTTCAATGCTCACTCATCAAGCCCAACAGCCTTTTGGATAGGCTCCCAACTTAAAACTCCCATCTCCCAAGCCATATATAGGCTCCCAACTTAAGACTTTGTGTCTCCCAAGCCATCTTGCTGTGGTTTGCAAATTAATCTTTCTCCAACCATATCTGTCAGTCCAAGCCCTGAACAAAGATCTTCACACACTTTTTTGCCCCCCCACCAGGTATTTATAATAGAAGAGGAGCCAACTCCACCATGTAGACGACATGGAGCCCCAGCAGGCTTGCATGCCTTCCATCAGTGTACAAGGCTCTGGCCGATTTCATCACATTACCACATAGAGGAAAAGTTTTGGAGATAAATGCATCATAAAAGTGTTTTTAAAAACAGCCATGGAGAACTGGAATTTTTTATCAAATTTATTTACATAATATTTAGCACCTACAGTCTAAACCTGCCACAGACCACACTCAACTGCATCAAACTATAACCATCCATTTATGTTAAACTACTTTATGTGTTTTGTAATATTAAGATCATTTAACAAACTTTCAAGCCTTTAGTATACTAAAAGGCAAATTTGGTCAATCTCAGCCATGCTCTTACCATTTTGTTCATTCAGTTCTTTCCCAATTTCTTGACCCATTTGTTTTTGGCAACTTATAATAGAGCAAAGGGCATCGAGGCCTGCATCTTGTTCTGAAAGAAAAAGTAAAACAAGTGACTGACTAAAAACCAAGGGACAATTAATTTAAATTCCAAAAATGGACCCAGGCATGTAAAGCAATTCAATATATGATTAAAGTAACACATAAGTCAGTCAGGAAACAAAATAAAACAGTTAACATTATTAGAACAAAATAAAAAATTAAATACCTACCTTCTACCTTAAACTAAAATGATTTCCAGATGAATTAACTTTTTAATTATTAAAAATGAAATAATATAAAATTTGGTCTCAAACATTTAAACTCTCTGACACTTAATACATAAAGAAGATACACAAATCAATAAGAAAGACTTAACACTTCATTTTTTTCAATGGACAAAGGATTTAGACAGGAAATTTAGAAAAGAAAAATAAACATACTGTGACATCAGTACTAATTATTAAAATACAAATAATAAACAATGATGGTTTTTCTTTTATCATATTTGTAATGATTAAAAGGAATACTAATACCCAGGTTTAAATAAAGTGTGAAGAACTAGAAGCTCCTAACACTATGTCATGGGAGGATAGCTAATACACCTTTTGAGAGAGCAAATTTTGTCTACTTTTTTTATCTATCAATTCCATGTCTAGAAACATATGTAAGAAAACGTTCAGATAGTATGTAATGATGTATATACAGGGATAGTCCTTGAAATGTGTTTCCTGTACTGGTTTATCAATGTATTGCCTCTCAGCTCCAAATTCACCCTTTTTGACTGCTCTGTGAAAGTGTAACTGGACGCTTACTATTTTTTCTTTTGCCAGCTTAGTCACCAGAGGAGACTGCAGAGACACTGCAGAAGAAAGGGTTTCATTCCTGGCTCCAGTCAGTGACCTTGACAGGTTCTTGCAGTATAGAATGGCTAGCAGCACCCTAAAGCGAGCAACTTCTCCAGAATACCCCCTTCCTTGCACAGTTTTATAACAGAATACCTCCAGTTAGACACCTCCTTGTGAACAGTTCTCCCTCGCCCCTTATAAGGCAGATTTCCAGCAAGTTCCACCAGCTCAGCACCACAGCAATTGCTCTGAAATCCAGCAAAGCTCTCCAGTGCTCTCTTCATTAAGATCTGCATCTCAGCCCTGGAGCTGTGGGTGCTTCCTTGGGCACTCTACTTCAGCCCAAGAGTCAGTGATTGTACCTTGTACCTGCTATTTCTGTCTGACTTGCTACCTAGTCCTTCATCACTCTAATCCCTTGTTATAGGTAATAATTCGATATATTAAATTTTCCCTCTTCATATTTCCTTCTCCTGATTAGACCCAGAATGATATATTTAAATAGTGAGAAACTGGAAACTAATGCCCAAACACAGAGATCTGTTTAAAAACACATAGTGTATTAATAAGTAAAACACTATAAAGCCATTGAAAATGTTATTTATTGCACATGTATATTTTGATGTCAGAAGTTCACGGTATGATATTAAGTAAAAAAGCAGGATACAAAACAATGTATAATAAAACTGCACTTTTCTTTTAAAAAATGAAAATATATTACTTTTCTAGATTTTGAAAATGTAGAGAAAAGAACTCAAGTTGCTCTTGATCCTTTAAAATGATACTGGGGTCTTTTTTGGTTGTTTTTTAACAAGACAGTTTCCATGATCTCTTTGAACTTTTCTTCCTTTGCTTTCAGGTGCACTGGGAAGAATATTCTGAGGCTGAGTCTAATGACTTTCTAGCCAAGAAACATACCAGAGGAGGGTGCCATTTGTGGTTTCACTTGTTGATAGGGTTTTTTAAATGACTTTCACATAAAGGCGTATCTAAAAAAGCAGAAATAGCAAAGGTCTTTCTTTACCCAAGGTCATATTAACATTTACATGTTTTTTTCCCTAAACTTTTATGGAATTAAGTCATTACGCTTAACTCATTAATTCATCTGTAATTTATTTAAACCAATGGTGTGAGGTAAGGACCACTTAGTGACATTTTTTGACACTATGTACTTTTTAACTATACAAATGACCTGCTCTCTCCAGGGATCATTCCAAGGGGCCGTTTTATAGCAAAATCGCTTTACAATAAGGTCCTTTTGGTCTTTAGTAACAACCTCTTGGATGACCTCCAAGATGTCTATTATCGAACTAGTGCTGCTGTAGGATGACCGATGTTACAGTAAAATTCCAAAAGCATCCCAAGAATAATCTACATATAGGACTGAGGGTCAAGTGTCGATGTGGATTAAAAGGTAAAACAATTTTTAAAAAGAAAGGAGATTCCCCTATGGTTTTTAATTAAGAAAGACTCATTAAAAAAGCCCTTAAATTGCTTTACTCAGTAGAGACATAGATTATGAATGAAAAATACCTACATTACACTCTTTTCTCTCAATCCTGACTCAGTGTCTGACTTAACTATCTAAAGGTTATCTTGTTAATGCAAAACAGAAAGAGGGCTAAAAATTCTGCTCCATTCAAATACTTTCTGTAAGAACTTAGTACTTCCTCACTAGGTTTAGGTGATAAATAAATTTTCATCCCATAATCCAAAGACACAGAAGGTGCTGATAATGGAGATGCTGTGCATGTAATAACCATCAGATTGGTGACCTGAACTTCTCCAAATCTTAAAGCAGCATTTCTAAGGGGAGGCAGTATGGTCATCTTAGAGATAATGAGCAAAATAAAATGTTGTTGCTGCAAAAATATAATCAATCAAGAGCCATGCAGTTATTCAGAGCCATGTAAAACCACTGATGTCATAACAATAGCTCATTCCTATAATCTGCCCTACCCTACCACATAGTCCATATCACTATGCTATCACAGTAGATCATTTGCAACATAGCACACTATTAATCATTCTTCAGTTTTATAATTGTGCTAATTTTTAAACACGGATATCCACTGTGCTACACAAAGTAAAAACCTCCTGCAGATGTCTACTTCCCAACCCTGGAACTTGTGGATATATAACCTTACTTGGCAAAACGAATTTTGCAGATGTGATTAATGTTAAGTAATTTGAGATTAGAGATGATTCTGGATTATTCAGGTGGGCCCAGTGCAATCACATGAGTTCTTTGAAAGAACAGAGAATCTTTACCAGCTGCAGTCAGAGGAAGATATGAAGAAGGGTCAGAGAGGTGCAACTTGCTGGCTTTGAGGACTGAAAGGGGACCATCAGCCAAGGGATGTGGGTAGCGTCTAGAACCTGGAGAAAACAAGGAAATAACTTCTCCTCTAGATCCCTCAGAAGGGAACCAGCCCTGCCAACACCTTGATCTTAGCCCAGTAAAATCCACTCTGAACTTCTGATGTACAAAACTGTAAGGTAATAAATCTGCAGTTTACGTTACTAAGTTTGTGCTAATTTATTACAGCAACAATGGAAAACTAATACAATCATGTTTTGAAAATGTCTTTGGAATAATTAGGTGTTTGTATACTTCCTATGTTGAGACATTCTGAAACACCATCTTCTAGCTAAATATCATGTAACTGTGGGAGGGCTACCTAGTGGCGGTAGATCAAAAATAAGTGAACAGTCATCATAATATATTCTTGCGAAAAATAACAAGTTTGATTCTGATTAAGCCACCAAATCCAACTACCAATTTATGGAAAATATGTGGGACAGAGGAATATGTTAAGCAATATATAAGGTACAAATAGCAAATCTAGAGAGCAGGAAATTATAGGGCAAATACCTTGTTTCTTCAATGAGGAAATTGCAAAGAAAAAAAAAAGAGTTGGCAAAGGTACCTATCTCTTAGAGAAACATAGGGACATGTCATTTATTTGCAAGGCACAGACTATATACAGAACCTGAATTGAACAACCTAAAAAAAACATGGGCAAGCAGAGAATCTGAACACTGACTGGATATTTGATAATATTAAGGAATTACTCTAACTCATTAAGGGTGATAATGTCATTGTGGTTTTATTTTTCTAAAACAGTCCCTATCTTCTACAAACATAGTTTAGAGATATATTCTGGATTATTCACCAATGAAATAATGTTTAGGATTTGCTTAAAAAATAATCCAGGGGATGGGTAGGTGGTAGATATATAGATGAATAAAAATTGGCTGAGTTGATAATTGCTGAATTATTTGATGGGTAAAATGGAATCATTATCTTACTCTACTTGTTTTTTAAGTATTGCTTATATACACATATTGGTTTCAAGTATACAACACAGTGGTTCAACAGTTAACCATATTATTAAATCTTCATCCCCACTAGTGCAGTTACTATCTGTCAACAGAGGAAGATGTTACAAAATCAGACTATATTCTCCATGCTCTACTACTATCCCTGTGACCAACTTACATCATGATTGAGAATTGTTGTGCCCCTATCTTACTCTACTTTTATATTTTGATATTGTCCACAGCAAAAAGTTACCAACATGTTAACAAGTAAAAAAGAAGAGGGTCATTCCTATGAGCTGTAACCTCAGGTCTCTGACTAAGCCCATGATAAGGGCCCCAAGGGCTGGCTGTGTCATCTTTTCCTAGATTTTGCCCCAGTTCTGAGTGCAACTGGTGGCACAGAGCAAGTACTTAATAAATATGTTTAAATCAAGGAATGACCACAGAGGGCCCTCGAGGTTTGCAGAAGACAGGAATATACAGTCTCCGCCAGACATACGGAAGGGCTTCTGGTCAATACTAGATAGCCCTCTGTGTTTAGGTACTAGAAAAAGGAGCTGACATTGTATTGTCCAGTGTCCAGGCAGAGGCAATGGAAGTTCTCACATCTGACATACAGAGGGAGCTGTCCCTGGATAAGAGCAAGTAAGACACAAACGAAGAAAAGATGAGGTCAAGCTGGGTAAAGTTAATTACTACACTGGGAAGACTCTTAGAGCAAATCCTAAGAATAGATGTTTTTATTTTTGGTTTTT